TCGCATTACTGTCTCTAATGTTGCATCATCAATCACTGTGGTATGTTACACGTTACCCTCACATTACTTACCTTGATGAAGATGTTGATTCAATAAACTCATGCTATCAATAGTGATCCCATCTATGGGTTTTTTTCTTCCAAGCCTTGCACTGATACCTATGTTTTCTCAGTAACAATCTGCCAAGTAAAAACAATCACTTACGTTGAAGCTCCCTCTCCCGGTTTTGACCTTCATTCTTGTTTTTCCTGCTGATGCCACCACCCACATCTATAAGAAAGCATAAGTGTGAAGCAATTTGACAATGGTAAGACATTCACGTTTTGGCCTATCAACTTCTGTATCTTGACTTGTCGTATCTGTGTAGTCCTTAACGTGGCCCCACTGGGATGGTATAAAGCTGGCCATATTGGCTTTGTGGTCAATCCATTCCATGTGGATTTTTTTGCGAATATGAGCTGCTTTGACAGATGGATCCATCCCATCAACCTCAATCTCCCCTGGTAAAATGGGATCAGAGACCGAACCATCTGGAGCTTCAGGCCAAGGTTCAGCAGTGATGGTTGTCATATTGTCTTGCATGGTGAATGCAGACGTAAACTTTGCCTGGTCTATTCGTACACCCATAGGCAATGGAAGCTGACGAACAATATAGGCAGAAATTTGAAGTAGGCCCCAGATGACAAAGTTGAACAATGACTTAGGTTCCATAAGGATAATACCGTCTCGGACAAAGTTAGCCTCCCTTGTTATCGTCCCTTTATTGGTGCTAGATTTTCTCAGTTTTCTGTGACAGATGTTAATGTTTGTTACTCACAGCAATGATGTCGCCTCTGTTGACAATTTGAAGAGTTGTCCAAACATACTGGCGAACCCGATAGAGTATTGACCAGCTCCAGAAAGCATGAAACGTGGTGAATATAGAACGGCGTTGATCCGATACAAGTTTTTTTTCAACTCAATGCCACGTCCAAGAATGATTGGTGAGCCCCCATGCAAGAAGAGCCCATTGAATATGGGCAAGCTAAAGCGAACCATCTTCACATAAATGAGATTGTTCAGAACGAAGAATCTCCCCATTTCAGTTCCACCACCTTCTGGGACATTGGTGTTGGACATCATGCAGGTATAACCTGCAGCATCGTCTCCAGTGTCACGGTGACCATGCATTTGCCCAAAAACCCCCATCCCCACCAGGGAGGTATCTATAACTGGATTAGAAATAGCCATAGTAATTATACTGAAATAATAACCAAAATGCCTCTCCCAAGGTATTGCAGGTGAAATATTCAGCTGTAATGCTTGAAAATAATAGTTGTCATCAACTCCTAGTCTTGGTATGTTGGCTGCAGATGTGTAGCGTTGATAGAGGTCTTGTACGTGGTTTGGAAGACAAATCTTCATTGCGAGGGCGCCGATTTCAGCATGTAGCTAATAATCTTTTTAAGTGGCAATAATAGTTGAGCAGAACAATGGTACCTTGATGAACCTCTTTCTAAAAGCTAGTTGCTCATCCATAAAGTCAAGTAATTTGCCAAACCAGTGGGGACTCCACATTGCGCGTGTGCGTTGGGTTGTGGAACCCATGGGATAGCAACGGGTTCCATTAATTCCAACTGCACCAGTCCTTTCAAACCATGTTCCCCCCCTTAATACTCCATTTTCATCCCGTGTTGGTGGATCAAGGGTAGCCTCTTCCTCTGGGCCAATCAGATCAGTTTGCAGATCATCGAATGCGTTAATCTGTTCTTTCGTCATCAGCTCCTTTCTATTTCATGATCAGACATTATATTTGTATGTATATGCAAAAACATACCCATCAAGTAGGCAAACATTCAAAACATCCTGGTTTCGATCATGACGTGTTGTTGGAGTAGAAGCATATAGAGCAGCACTGGGTGGTAATGCCATTGCCCCTACATATCGAGCAATCAACATCAACCTAATCAACTGCAGAGCATACTCACCAACTTGTGGGTGTGGGCCAGTGCTGCGCATGGCATGTATGAGTCCTTCCCATGGACCTCCAATGCTGAAAAATATGTAGAGTAAGTTTTTTTTTTTAAAAGGCATATTTTAACATTTTCATCAACAATGGATGCAAGCCACATTAATGTAAACCAAGAGATTGTGAATAATGTTACAGTAACAATGTCTAAAAAATTGCAAAATCATTTGACATTTATTTACAATTCTTTATAATCATTTGCTTCAAATCAATGTGGCTTGCATTCAATGTTATAAAGATATTAATCTAGAATTCTATTTTAATGTTAAATTTATCAAGACAAAGTTCTAATTTAAAGTTGAGAATATACAGCCAAAACAAGTTCCTGATCTTGATAGTATCTAAGATCATTATTGCTTTTATCATCTAGCTGCCCATCTTCTATACACTTATTTTTGGTGGTTATCCCATTATGGAACCAAACTTTACCTTCATATGAAAAAACTCTAGAGGTGAAATGATTATCCCCATGGTATATGATCCCTCTCAGGCTCAGTAAAACTTCTTCTCCATTTACTACAAACTTTACCTTGTGACTAGTTTCAGTATTACAGTATGGGTACTCCAGGATGATAATCTTTGGAACCTCTGCATAGGATACATGCTCAATCATTTCACCTGAGCAACCCCCACATATTTCTGTAGATGGCTTCTGAATTGATCCTATCCATTTTGAAGTTGATGCTGGTATAGGGTCAGATGCATGTAGAACATATCCCAGTGTATCATCTACTTCATATGCATT